CCAATCTAAGTGGGGTCCTACTTTTGTGTCTAGGTATGTTTTTTTTCTGCCCATTCATTGATGGGCATCCAGCAACACTTTTGTGAAATGACCTTTGATGTTTTGAAAAGCATTTCAGTATTTGAAGACAAAACTTGACTGTCACATACACTGCATTTCACTTTGAATGAAGTTTTCAAATGGAATTTTGTCATCAATAATCATTTCAATGGATTGTCCATGTTGCTAAAATATTCACTTCATAATTTATCCGCAGGCTTTCTATCTGCGGCAGGATGTGGCCAGAGTTTTGCCTCATAAGAGGTATGCCACGAAGGCTGGCCCAGGGCGGATCATGCTGATGACGCTAAAAGAGGCCTTCATTTTGTTCAAGGTACATATTTTAGGAAACCTCTCTACATTTGATCTTCTTTATTAGCTATTGGTAATTATTTCAGAAGGCATGCGTTTCTGAACAAAAACTTTTGGTCTCTTACATCAAATCAAGAATTCATATTGTCTATATTATGTGAAAACATTTTGTTCAAGTAATAATGCCATTTTTATTATTTTGGTTTCCTTTCAGAAGGAGAATCCAGATGCCGCGGTTGGATTCACGAAGTTCACCACCCTCCGCCCAAAGACAGTCCGACTGATTGGGCAAGGCACAGCGGAGACATGTGCATGCATGTACTGCCTCAACGTCCGGCTAAAAATAGAGGTCCTCAATCGAGTGATGGCTCGCAATCTAGAAGATTTCCGGATGCCGCCTGAAACTCGATTGTTGGACCTTCTATTGTGTCCTAAGGAAGCAGGCAGTGACTGGCACCACCCTGCTTGCCTAGAAGGTAGGCCTATGTTTTGTTGTGTCATTCATTATTACTCTTATTGCAAGTCGCCTATTAGACAAGAATTTGAACAAAGGAAAGGATACTTTTAACTGCCTATTTTTATATTTTACAATTTTGGTTACAGGAAAATGCAGTAAATGCCAGGACCCGTCAAACTTCCTGCAAGGACAATTTGGCAGTTATGGGGCCACCATCACTCCCTGGCAGCATTGGGAGCGCATATCCAAGGAGGGGAGAATGAGGCTTGAACTTCTGACCAAGCAAGGGACTCTGGAGTAAGTTTCTTATGAGCTGAATTATTTTGAGCCCAATTTTCCAGGTCCTGTTTTATTTATTAATTGTAGAAAGCACTGAAGTATTATGAAAGGTTTTGATACTTTAATAAAGATATTTGCAGGTAACCATGGTTATGTTCAACCTCTATAGTTTCTTATTGGGACCTTCAGCTGAGATGTAAAACCACTTTCTAGGAAAGGTGGAAAATAAAATACACACTCCCTTTAATTTTGAAAATGACACTAAATAGTATAATGTTCTCTCCCACAGCACTGAAAGCAGTATTAACTTAGCTTGATTGATGGTTTATTATTTCAACCATATTCCACTTTCTTTGACAGGGAACTCCTGGAGGAGTTCATAAGAAAGGACCTCCTCCAGCCAACCCAGGGAAACACCTTTGTTCGCCACCTCCACACCTTCTTTTGGCAGTACCGCCAGTACTGCCATCTGAAGGACACCCTTCAGACAGACGAAGCAATCATGGTGATGGACTTTGCCGAAAATAGGAAAGCCTCATATACCGTTGAGGTGAAGAGTGCCCATTTCGGCAAGTCTCAGATCACCATGCATCCCATCGTCTGCTTCTACCGAAGTGGTGAAGGACTAGTGAGGCACAGCATGGTTTTCATGTCAGACGATATTTGTCATGATTATCATGCTGTGCATCATTTCACTGTTATGTCCTTGGAGGCTTTGGCCAAGGCAGCCCCCACTGTACAAAAAATGTACATTTTCAGCGATGGCTGTGCTGGCCAGTACAAAGGAAAGGGCACCTTTGCTGACCTTAGCCTGCACACTGGTAAGAAAATATTTTCATCGGTTGTGCGGTCTCATCCCGCTCTTTGTCTTTTCTATGTTGTTGGCTTTTTTTTTTTTCAATATAAATTTATGCCCTTTTTGTTAAAAAGTACCCACATCTCGCATACATGAATTATGATGTACTCTGTGCCCCTATTTCATCACAACATTGAGATATTTCAGGTACAGTTCTACTGTTTTCCCTTCTCAGGCCAAAAGATACAGCGCATTTTCTTTGGGTCAGAGCATGGGAAAGGGGAGGCTGACGGTGAGACTGGGGTCATCAACCAGGCTGTGGACCGGGCGGTGACCTCAGGGAAGCTCACCGTCAAGGATGCTGGAGACCTCTTTGCCTGGTGTAACAGAGAGCTGGTCAGATCTCTGGACGGTTTCCGACGGGAATTCTTCCTGGTTGGAAAAAATGAAATCCTAAGGGACCGTCCAGAGACTGATGTGATCACCATCCCTGGGACCCGGAGGATCCACCAGGCGGAGAGGGTCTCCAACTACATTATAAGGACAAGGACGCTGGCATGCTTCTGCCTTGCCTGTCAAAGGGATGAAGGTGGATGCCACAACCAGGCATATGTGGGCACCCACATCATCCACAAGATCCGACCAAGGTGAGGGATAATTTTTTCCTATAAAACTAATGATAATAATAATTTCTACCTCTACTGATGTTTGCATGAACTCATTGATATTTACATGTGTGTGTGTGTGTGTAGTGTGTGTGTGATGTAAAGCAACTTTTTGTATTTTTGTTTTATGAAACAGCCACCCCAGTGTCCTTAACGAGGCATTTTTGGAGGACCCAGAGCCTTCTACTTCCCAGCACAAGGAAACGGAGTCCACCACCTTGGATCGAACTGAGCCAAGGATTGGCGACTTCGTTTCAATTACATACACTGTTGGAAGGAAGCAACTCATGTACAATGCTGTTGTAAGTTTTTCTTTTCTTTGCCTACCATCTTTCATTTGTTTTTTCCCCCTGTACGTTTCTTTACCATGTTTCATTTGGGTTTTTTGTCCAAACATTAATTTCTCTACCATGTTTCATTTATTTTTTCAGCTGGACTTAACCCAACCATATTTCATTTGGTTTGTTTTTTTCAGTTCGACATTTCTCTACAATGTCTGAATTGTACATTTTTCAGTTGAAATTTTTTTTCTGTTTCATTGGGGTTTTTTTGTTTTGTTTCAGCTTGACATTTGTTTACCATGTTTCATTTTTGTTTTTGTTTTTTCAGTTCAACACTTTTTTGCCATGTTTTGTTTGTTGTTTGTTGGGTTTTTTTCAGTTCAATATTTCTATACGTTTCCCTTTTTTTTTTTTGCAGGCGGATATTTCTCTATTTTTTTTCATTTTATGTAATCCACTAAACAGTTATAATAATCAATGTTTTATCCTTCGAAATTGGTGTTAAAATCCATGCCATACCTATTTTATCATATGGAGACAACTGGTGATTTTAAATTTAGTCTTGATAAAAGAATAGATTTCAAAAGTCGCAATTTTGATTAAAGTCTTTTATATGGGTAAATCTCTATAATTCTTTCCATTTCTTTTTTGCAGGTCATTCCACCACAAGAGGTTCTAGAGGATGGAGAGCTCCTTGTTTCCTTCATGAGGAAACAAGGGGCTTCTTTCATTTTCCCTCATGTACCAGAGATATGTGTAGTACACCTCGAGGAGGTTGTGGTCCTCCACCCTCCGACTATAGACAATCGGGGGAGACATTTTTTTGATTAATTTTTTTTTTTGAATGTTTTTTTGTTGTTGTATTTGGTGGGGAGGGTGTTATTGAATATTGGAATACAAAATCTTTTCAACTGTGGCTGTGTTTTCATGGATTGTGATGTTCTTTCTGAAACTTTGGATTATTTTGGACGTTGCGGAAATTCTGAGGTGAGGTTGCTTTTTTGTTAATATTTTTTTTCCTGAACCTTTGCTGACTCTTTAGTTCACATATTTGAATTCCCCTTTGAAAGAGCTTTAATTTGATATATGATACATCTATCTGGACAAAGATTGAAAAAATCAAAATTTTTTTGAAAAGTGGGAAATCTGTGGGACCTTACCGTGAAATCTGCCATAAATTAACCTATACTTTTGGTGTTGGGAACACTTTCGTATCATGTACACCGAAAACTATAAGGAGTTTGAATTTCAATGCCGAGATGGTAATAGATCTATCTATCCTCTATAGTGTGCTCAAATTTGAACGTTCTGTGTCATGTAGTTGTTTAGACCCGATCATAAATGCACGACTACCCCCCTATCTAAAGCGGCTTCGCACGGAGACCGGCCATTTTCCCCTCACTCTCGTGGCAAATGTATGTGACCTAGAAATCCCTGCTTGACTACTCTGGGCCCGTTCATTGGTCACTTGAAATAGGGCAATGGCGGGCGCGCGCATCCGGTTGTTTTTCTCTCTATTCCCCTGTAACATCGCAATGGGGGTATTCCGAGGCGAGGTTATCTCGTCTCGGGGTGTTCGCGTCTCAACGGGGAAAAAGAATTTTTAATTGTACGGCATGCTAGATTGAATTAACTTATCTTTTACTGTTGGCATGGTCTAAAGTCATCATAAAAAGCTTTGCAATTATTTAGTCACGCTGCCGATATATATTCTTAAAGATCCCATGTTGTGATGCGATGCTATAAATAAAATGGACTCATCCCGACACCCCTTTTTCGCAAATCGTAATATGTACACCACAATTTTAACGAAGTGTCTCCCGAGACCAGGATCCTGGTCTCCCTAGCCAGCCTGGCTAGGGAGACCAGGGAAATTTTCTGCGTGTGCGCATGCTCAAACCCCGAGTCCAACTTCCTTTCCTTTCAATTTTCGACTTCAAGATGGCGGCCCCCATCTCCGTAGGGCAGTATTTCGACTCATTTGATGATTTTATGGCCGTCTTGACGTCGAGGAAAGCCGAAAGCAACGAGCATCTAGTGGTAGGGAAGTCCAGTTTGACAGTGAGGGCTGCAAATTCAAAACTGAAAGGCAACTTTCGTTACAAAGAGGATTTGAAGTACACCCACGTCACCTTCAGGTGTGTCCACGAAGGCAAGTTCACCTCTAAAGGCCATCTTAAGGAATCCACGTAAGTGAATGCTTCACGGTTTACTTTTCCCCCTAGGTTCTAGATAGATCTAGATCCAGTATGTCTTGATATAGAAAGAAAATGGGCTGATAACCCATATGCGGCAACAACAACACCTGGTAATTAGGAGTTGTGAATGATCCAAAGTGCCAAAGTGTATAAAAACACAGTTTGTCAGGAGGTTGGAAGTTCCAGTGCCTTGGGCTTGGCTTACGTAAATGAAGAAATACCCGTCATTTCGTCATAGACTTGTGTAACTGCGATTTTTGTGTGTGATGTTGCCGCACATGGGTTTTCTTCCATTAAATGTTGTGAAATTGAATGGGCAACTTACAAATGTGGTGTTGATCTCGATCTAGATATCTATTATCTAGTAGATTCTAGATCTAAATTTAGAATTAGAATCAAGTTGGCGGAAGAAAACCCATATGTGGGTCCTGGTCTCTCTAGACTCACAGGCTAGACAGACCAGGATCCTGGTCTCTCTAGCCTCTTCCAGAGTTTTACTGATTTTCTTTTTGTAGGTTCCCAAAATCAAACAATGTGCCGAGACCCTGAAAGAATGGACCAGCCAGCCTGAACAACTGCTGCAGCCTCAGCAAGATGTCTTCTGTAACATACTCAATGTCCAAAACGATGTCACCCTCTCTGCCTTGTGCTGTTTTTCATCCTCGCAGCCTGACTTTCAGGTTTCCGTCTTGAGAGAACTACTCTCCTCTGTTCAGAAGGTTGTCTTGCGACAACTGAACCGCTACCTTGGCGGAGACCTGGGAGAAAGGAGACCCGAGGATGTGGAAGCAGGACAGTTGGCTCCTTCCCACAACATGGCTTCTGAACGGGCCCTGGCCTTGCTTGATGGTCTCTACCGCCGTGCCTCTAACGCTACCACTGGCTTTCTCAGCGGAAAAGTTAAGTCCCGATTCAACAACACCTTACAGTGGCTGGATGGGAAGAGTTCAGAGGAGAGGAAGGGACTTATTTCTTTCGCTGTGAAGGAGGGGTATCGCGCTCGGAGTAGGGCTATCCTTGAAAAGGCCAGGGTCAGACAAGAGATTTCGGAGCGTCGTGAGGCCTTGGCTAAAGGCAGGGACAGGACCAAACGGAAGGCTCTGTCCCGGAAGATTGGAAAGACCCTGGAAGGAAAGGAACCCATCGACAGCCTCGCGGTGTCCAATGAATTGAGGGACTTCGTCACTACTTTTCATCTGTCCAGGGAGTCCAGTCTTCTCAACGGCGCTCTGTCTCTCCAGACGTGGGAGGAGGAAGACGGCGCCGATCTGTCCTACTACGGGAGGGTGGTTGAGGTCAAGAGGAAGGCTTCAAAGTACTTCTTTGTTGTGTCTTACTGGAAATTTTCAGAGGACGAGAGCAACAAAGAAGACTACGACATTCCCCAAGAAGACATCTTCGCTGACATGGTCCTTGGAGATCTGACCCTGTGTTAAAGAGTTAGATTCCCCTTACCACATATCCTGATCACTGGATGGAGGTACGAGCTATTTGTGGTGAGTGTTGGTTGTTGTTACTAATGTGGATGTTGTACAACAAGACACTGTTTCCTTTGATTTCATGTCGTGTAATTACTGTTAAAGGAAAATTTAATACCTCACCTAAACATTTTTTTTTTTTACCTAACATGGGCAGTGACAGCCCAGTTGGATTCGTCTTGTTCAGACGAGTAATTTGATGTAAATCTTGTCCAAATCCGTTGTGTCCTTCTGGTTTTATTGAATATCTTCATGTGATTACATAACGTTATGTAATCTACATAAATTGGTGCTTAAGACTACCGTTGCAAAGATCTTTTAACCCTTACAGCCCTGTACGCGACTATTTTCAACCCGGAAATGGCGTTCCCGAGGCCTGATCGCGACTATTTCCAACCTAGTGGTTGCTAACGAAAACACGTCCATTACTGCCGATATCGCCGGTAAATCGCCCGGGGCAAATATTTTCCTGAATCCTGATTGGATGACCTTTCATTTGGTGCATAGCTTTAAAAAATTGACCCCCATCCGACAATTGCGCGTGCATTCAAAGTGGAGGGAGATCGAGCGTCTTTTGTCAGTTCAGCGAGCGCAGTTGGAGTGATTGTTCCGTGCGCGATGGATTTCAACGATCGGGAATTGATAGACCTTTTTGAAGACAGCTCTGATGATGAATTTGAAGGATTTGAGAATGGAGATATAGGAAGAGAAAGACAGAATGCTGCCCGTGTCAGTTTGTTGGATTTTGCTCCAGAACACGATGCCGACCACCCCGATGATTTGGAAAACGGATGGGTTCGCCCGACCGTCAACAACAGACCTCCACTACCAGACTTCGAAGGACAGTCGCAACTGAACTCTGGTGTCAATGTTGAAATGAAACCAATTGACTTTTTCCAAATTTTCATCGACGACAATTTTTTGAACACTTGTGTTGAACAAACGAATTCTTATGCCTGCTTCAAGCAGCAAGCTTCAGATGTTGGGGAAAATGTCTACCTCGCGTCCTGGAAAGATGTCGATCTAGATGAGATGAAAGTGTTCATAGCTGGTAAGTAGATCTAGATTTAGATCTAGATCTAGTATATATCTAGATCTAGAGCTAGATCTAGAATCTAGATCTACACTATTTTTGGGGGGTCTTTTATGGGTCCCATAATTTGCCTTTTGTCTGCCTGAGTCTAGATCTAGATCTAGGTCTAGATCTAGATCTGGATCTAGACTAAACTAAACATTTTTTCCCCCCTCAAACTCAAAATGTTCGTCTTTTTTCAGGGGGGGGGGGGGGGGGGGGTAGATCTATGTAAGACAATTGGGGCTGATTCCATAAGATTCCATTTCAACCTTGGGACCCATAAAAGACAGTGGTGTTACTGATCTCTTCTGCAGTTGTTCTGAACATGGGACTCGTTCCTAAACAAAATCTGAAAGACTTCTGGACGAACAGTGGGCCGACAAGGACTCCTTGGTTTTCCAGGACAATGAGTCGGGACCGTTTTTTCCACATATTGTGGAATTTCCATATAAGTGATGTGGAAGAAGAACTGGATCAGGACCAAGACAACAGGGATCGTCTTTTCAAAGTAAGACCCCTGATCAAGAGATGTTTGGATAGCTTTTCGTCAGCTTATTCTCCTCAGAGAGACCTCGCGGTGGACGAAGCAACCTGCCCTTTCAAGGGGCGTTTGAGGTTCAAAGTATATAATCCCGCCAAACCAAATCGCTTTGGGATAAAACTTTATACCCTCTGCGAGTCCTCGTCGGGTTACTGTTTGTACTTTGACGTTTATTGTGCCCAACTTTCACCCCTGGATGAAGCTGCAGTTTCGACAGGCTTGCCTGCCACAGCTGGGTCTACTGAAAAGATTGTGTGTGGGCTGATGGAGAAGGCTGGGTGTTTACACAAAGGACACCATCTATATATGGACAATTACTATTCATCGCCAGCCCTCTTCCAACATCTCGCAGCGCTCAACACGTACGCGTGTGGAACTGTTCGCCCCAACAGACGTGGCCTGCCTTCGGTGTTCAGGCTTCCGGTCAATGCCAACATGTCTGAGTTTCAAACCGTGGCGCGTGTGAATGACCGCTTGACCGCCATCAAATATCAACACAAGCGGTCTGTTCATGTCCTCTCGTCCATCCATGACCCCACAGGCCAGGTGGTTTATAAACCTCGGCGCAAAACTGCGATGAAGCCATCATGCATTCTGGACTATTGCTCCAAGATGGGTGGGGTTGACCTGATGGATCAGGTCACCTCGTACTACGAGATTTCGAGAAGGTCCCTCAAGTGGTGGAGGAAGCTCGCCTTCTATCTCATGGACCTCTGCCTCGTGAATGCATTTCAACTCTACCTGAAGTTTTCTCCAGCACAGAAGAAACTCACTCATGCTGAGTTTAGAAAAAGCATTGTGGAGACGCTGGTCTCAGAGGCTCCTTCAGCGAGAAGGCCCACGACACAAGGTGGGAAACGTCGTGCCACCACCGATGTTCCAGCATTGCCGAGACTGACGGAGCGTCATTTTAGTCGTTTCATTCCGGCTGCTGAAGGCTCTAAGCGGAGCCACGGAGCTCGAGACTGTGTTGTGTGCAATCTCCCAGCAGCATCAAGAAAAGGCTGTAAACGACAACAAACCAGCCACTGGTGCCAGGACTGTAACGCCCCCCTGTGCTATCCTGAGTGTTTTATTTTATTTCATACAAAAATGGATTATCAGCAAGAAGCAAGGAGACAGGAGCTGGGAGGCTACAAAAGGCAAAAGCTCCAATAATTGGAGAAATTGCCCAAGGGACTGGGAGGTTTGTGAAATTTTTACGTATTACATCACATTATGCAACAGTAATAAAATGCAAACACAATTTTTCAACATATTTTATTTTATTTCACATTCTTTATTCATTTGTGAACAAAAAACTCTCTATGTATTATTATCTATCTTCTATACTTAAGCCACTGTGAGCCTTTTTTCAACACACCCCCTGAACCCTTCAAATCTCTGATTTCAAGTCAGTCCTGAGGGGAAACAATCAGGATTTCAGCACAGGGCTGTAAGGGTTAATAAAGAATGGTCATATACAACTGCCTCCTGTAGTATTTATATGTATTATTGAAACCAAGTGTGTTTTCTGCTCATACCAACTGTGTGACTAACCGATTATGTTACATAACTAACACGTTACACGTAATTATGTAACAATTTGTTGTTCACAACTGTCACACTGTGTCAATTTTACAGAAACAATTTGTAAAAATTGTTTCTAATTGATAATTGTGAAAAAACATGTATTATAATGCCGTTTAAAAGGCCTCTCTACCATTTAGAAGAGGGAATTCAGTGGGTGGGGTCAAATTTCGATCACAGAACTCCAATGCAATTTACATCCAAGATTCAGTCACAAAAAATGTCATAACTTTTGAACCAATCAAGATATTTTCAAAATTTAAAGTGTTCTGTGCTAGTTACAGCACCCTCTATCCAATGAGATGTATTTCCAGACTCTAAAACAAATTTAATTTTTTTTATCAAACTGCCTAGTACCAGGGCATTCCAAACCTCCCAGTGGACGTGGTACCACCCTACCAGCACCAGACAGTAATCCATGACAGATATTTTGTAGATCCTGTCACTGGAGCGTGCACAAATCGCATAGAATGCTTTTGGAAAAATTGCAAAGCAAGATTCAAGTCTATGGCGGGGGTGCACTCGACAATGCTCGCAGGACACCTAGATCTAGATGAATTTTTGTGGCCAGAAATCCACGACTAAACTAAAAGAAAAGGCCAAGGAAGAACATTGGACCAGCGCATGGCATCACATGACGCCCAAAAGTAGTTCCACCTCCCCCCCCCCCCCCCCCATCAAAGTTCAATCTTACCCCAAGGTAATGATGTATGACACATAGGGATGGTAGTGTTCGGAATTTTTTGTCCAAAAGTGCCTACAATAATATTTGGCATTTTTGTTTGAGAAACGGTGTCGGTGTGAAATGGTGGTGCCTTGCCTTATGGCCCGGTCTAGAGATCTACCCTAGATTCTAGATCTTGTTCCGGCTTCACTCGGTGTTGGGTCCACCAAAGTTCAATCTTACCTTTTTATGACCTTACTGCTTTCAATTTGTGAAAACTTCATCCAAAAAATCTCAGCCAGCACTGTGGCCACTCGAAATTACCCACGCTTAGCCAAAATGGCGTGCGTGCAAATCGTCGTATTGTAGACAGTAGACAATCTAGTATCCAGCCCCAGCAGTCTGAAACTCCCGCTTCGTCAGCTTCGTGCAGTTCATGTTCTGCAATGCTGCGTATGTTCTGCCATGCATGATCTCACGAGCTATGGTCGCAAGCAGCGCAGGGATGTGGGGTAGTTCGACCTTTCGCAACAAGTGGTCGCTACCCATATTGAACCCCCCCTCCGAAAAAAAACACAAAACAACAAGCAAGTTCAAAACGTTTTGGGGGATTCAAACCAGAGCCGCACGCTCCGGAGTCCAGCATAATCATAATTACTATTATTATTATTATTATTATTATTATTATTATTATTATTACATGTATTATTATTATTTATTATTATTATTATTATCATTATTATTATTATTATTATTATTATTATTATTATTATTATTATTATTATTATTATTATTAATATTATTATTATCAGCAAATTGTGCGCTTCAAGTTGGTGGAGAACCTTGAAAACTCACGAAACAATTTAAAATGCTAGAAAACTTCATATAGGCCTAAATACGAGGAAGTGAAATAGGGCCAACAGCACGGTTGCTAAACATACCTCAAAGGCAAAACACACGAGATAGATCTACAAAACTGATCTAACGACGCAGCCGCAGGTCATTAAAAAAAAGCGAAGATGTTGGTGAGAGAGAAGGGGAGAACGGGAAAGAATACAGACTTTTTTTTCTAAGATGTTCTCCTTTCACATCCTTTCCTGCTCTCTCTGTCGTCTGCTTTCGTCCCCATGTGCACTTTCTGCCCCCACCCCTCACCTCCTTTGCCCCCTCCTCTGGGCTCCTGACTCTTTCTGCAGCCTTTCTACTGCTACTCTTTGGCTCCTTAAATTCTTCTGCCCCACCCCGATCTTATGTAAGGTAAGACCTACAGCTAGCCTTCTCAGACAAGGGTGAAAATCTCGAAGGTCCAATGTGCAAGTTGCGCACGTCAAAGATCCTTTGATGGTCCACAATCGGTTAGAGTATGCTTCGGCCGCCACCCCAGCAAAATTCAAAATTTGGTAACTGAAAATGTTTGGTGTGTCTCGTGCGCTCATTTGACTGTATGCAGTTGTGAGCGCCGTAAAACACTTACCCTAAAAAAAAGGACTGTAATACTCCGAGAACATTATTATGTCTGCGATTCTTATACTCCGAGCATAGGTTTTGCTGTTTAGCTGATACACTTTTTTAAACAATTAATTTTTGGTAGTGTGAGTATATTATGCACATTGTAGGCTATATAAAAATGTACACAGCTCTTAGACTTTTACACTGCAGAATGCGACACAAGCAGAGTCAGAGCTGTAACAAAATTTTGATTAGTCTGCACAGTTCATAATACAATTATTAATTATATTAACAGTTTTCGAAGTGCTAGTTTATTTTTCTGCTCCGCCCAATAATTTATGTAAAATGATAACTTATGTTTCCTGCCAAAAGGAATACTGTTTCAAGAATGAATATATTGCAAGCTACAATATCAATGTTCCCTTTTTCCGTCACCAAACCTTTTCTGGTTCAAAATTACGAAAATGAGACGACAGTTTCAATCGTCTTAGTTACAACAAAAATAAGGTAATTAAATAAATTAAAAGTTTAACGGTTTCCCTTGCAGGCCTTTCTTGAAACCTAAAGTTCCACTAAGCTATCTGCAGAGAACAAAACGACCCCTCGGTAGTAGCCTGATTGCCTACAAAAGAGCCCTGTATATTCCATAACGCCCGCCCCAGGGGGGAAACTACACAAAATATTCACGCATCTCCAAGTCCAAGGGGTGAGAGACAGACATCAAAACGCCGTGCATCCCCAAGAGTCAAGAGTCCAGACGAAATATAAAAAAGTATTAAAAATAAAAAAACAACAGCCAGTGAAAATCAAAATTTACGAGATCCATAATACGCACCAAAAGGGAGTGTAGTATACTGTATACATAAGGTCTGTCAGGAGCCCAAATTCTGTAGTAAGGAGACACGTTCATCATATAGTTCTTCGACTGTTCATAGGTATGTATTTTATTCATCTAGATCTATATGACTGTGGTTGTGATTTTAAGTCAGACACGATTAACGTCTAAGAACCACAAATCACAAATAAGGCCTTCTTTGGTTCTACCTGCACAGCGTCTTCTACTGGTTTAGTTATTAGAAGTCTGGTTGCGATGATATGTCTAGTTTTGTGAGAGCTTTAAAAAAAGGTTTTATTGTTTTACGGCACTTGCAAACACTTGTTGAAGCTTACACATTCAGTTCTAGTTCACTAACACTGTATCCTATCCTCAAAGCATATTAATTTCATTGTGCTTCTTATGACAATAAGCCGACCAGTGTGATAAAGCAGTGGGCTTTTCTGTCACTCACAGGAGACCCGAGTTCAATTCCTGAATGGAGAGAAACTTCCTATCGAGTATCTTGGTCTTTCTGCTGGGATGTTGTATACCTCTCAAACCTCCCAGGTTGACCTTGAGAGGTAGGATAGGAAGCCCGTCTGCTAAATTATCTAAATTGTGACGATAACAGCGTAAAAATACCTACAGAAAAAAAAATTGTTAGTAATTTGAGATGTGTAATATCGTCATCATCATCATTATCATCATCATCATCATCATCATCATCATCATCCATATGTGATGACAGCTTCTTATAGTTATAAGTTTGTTTTTTAATGACTGAACACTTCATTAAAAATAAACGTTGAAAATTTAGGCTATTTACAGTACACCAGTCCCGACTTTTAAAGACTATTCACATAAGACATAAAGACCATGGACGATTTCTTTAGTCCGATTAAATAATGAAAAAATTAGTACAATTCAGTTTGGGGTTTTTTACATCCGGAAGCTTTCGATATTTTAATCTACTCATTCTGCACAGCCCTTAAATCTGGTCAGCAATCCGCCGCACGGACGTCACAGCACGCGCACATGTGGAGAGGAGTGAAAACTCACCATTAACCTCGGCTACCCATTGCTCAAATCACAGGATTGTTTATTCAACTAGCTCTACATTAGCGCACGTGGAATGAGACTCAAAATTATTAATTAGATTTTTATGACTTCCTTTCTTTCATCACAGCAACTCAAAGAATAGATCAAGAAGTCAGAGTTGTAGTCTTTTGTTGTTGTTGTTTTATTGTTGTTGGTTTTTTTTTTTTGTATGAGTTTCTTGTCGTCTTCAACTGCGTAAAGGCGATCACACAGAGAAAGCTGCCCGAGGCCGTACTTTTAACAATTGCGCTGTCAGCCGCTTAAGCTTTGGAAGGAAAGTGCCTGCTTGACCCCATATATCATATTAATATAGTCACTTTTAAGGGCAAGCCGGCTAACCCAGATTTTGGGGGTTGCCAGAAATCTTGACCGACTCCAAAAATGGGCATTGCCCTACCTATAGGAAAGGTTTGGTTTCATTGGTGTGTATATTTGTTTGGTTATAGAGAAAATTCTCCTTGTCTTATGAATAAAGAAACTGAACAAGGAGCAAAAACTTTACCTTCGATTTTTCTCAAAACAGCGTTTTTCGGGATAGCCCCATTGAGCTTAAAAGCGACC